GTGATTTTAAGTGCTGGCAGGACACCTAGAGCTTTAGAGAGGTAACTTTTTGTTCTAGAAATAAAAAGAAAATAATGTATTTAGTTTATGGAAACCTGCTCATTGCATCTAGAGTGGAATCACTACCACCAGTGTTTTCTTCAGTTAAGCTAAGATAGCCTCTTTTCTAGCTGGTATATGTGCTAAAAGAAAAAGGTAATTGTTGGATAAAGAATTGCTGTAGCCTACCATAGACGCTGCAGATTAGCATATGCTGTGTAATCAGTGCATTAAATACTGAAGAAGTCAGTGCCTGTAATAAAAATATTAATCATCTGTAGAACAAAAGAGTCTGCCATCTGTCTTCCTAGCACAATACAAGTGGATAATCCTCCTCCATCAGAGAAAATTATATGTTAAATCCAGAATGGTCAAACAAGTAAACAAAAATTATGCTTTAAAGTATTGGAGACTGGTGCATAATTAAAAGGTATTTTGGAGCCCATTGGTGGATGCAATGAAGACTTTCCCAATGAAATTCTTCTAGAGGGACAAATATCTTAGTTACAGTACATTTTATTTTTTTTTATAGTTTGTTAGTTTTTTTTAAATGAGATTCATATCCATGTATCTGTAGCAGAGGGCACATATCCCCTTCTAGCTTACATTAATCTGGTTTTATGAAAGTGAAGTATTAAAGCAGATTGCTAATGTTTCTGTCTGGGTCCTCTTCATTATTTGTGAATGGATTTGAGCATCATGGCAGTTTGTGTGTATTTGCTGCCTTTTCCCCAAACCTTATCACCAGCTCTCAGATATCTCAAATAAATAAATAAATAGCTTATCAAAACTTTGGGATTGCACAGTGCTGGGAAAGCAGTCAGCACACTAAATTCTTGGCAGCTTGTTGCATTTGCATCCCTATAGGTTTTCTTTCTGCCTTATCACTTTCAGTTTTTATAACAAGCTGAAAAAAGAATTGGCAGTTCAGTGTGGTTTTACACCAGACTTAGACGCAGGAGGGGTTGGACTTGGCTTTCTTGAAAATTGCTTTGAAACACAAAAATATGAACCCTTGGAAAGAAGATTCTCTCAAATTTAACTTATTGGCATAGATAGGAAATCATAGTATATTTGAGTGTTAAGGAAACTGCCCACCTTTCCTTACAGATAAACCCTTTTTCATGACTCTTGTGTCAGTTGGAAGTGGCATTGGAAATGGTTGTTGATACAATGAGTACGGGTACTTTCACTCACGTGAACTACATTGGGATTGTTCAAATGTAAAATGTTATGTTACTCTTGGGCATAAATGTTGGCAAGAGCAGGCCCTGCATATATGTTTATCTTCAGCTGACCTGTTTTAACCTACTTGAAATATGATGTCAGGATCTGTTTTGTAGTGAACTTCCTTTAAACTTAAAGGACTGTCACAATAGGGAGGCTGTCACTGACTGACCCAGGGTTATGTAATGAGGTCATGAGTGTCTGAGATGGAAATAAAAACCAAAGGCCCTTATGCTGTCCCCCATTCTAACAATTGGGAAACACATGAACTAATACTAGATTTGAGCTACAAGTTCCACTCACTTATTCCGTGAATGACTCTTGCAGCCCTGCTAGTCCAGGGGACCTTCATTAGTTGGTTTAAATTGCTGCCTGAAGAACAAAAAAATTCCCAGTAAATGTGAATATGATATGCAACATAGGGGGTATAAGATATGATACTGAATTATTGGGTTATTTGGAGGGACTCCCTGCCCCTCCTTCAAATGTTCTTGAATGATCACCTCCTTACATGCCATGACAACTGAGTTACGACATACTGTGGCGCAAGTCACGTTAAGCCTACAGCAAGCAGGGCAGGTCACAAAGTGCCCGAAGTGCTGAAGTTAGAGGGAAGGGTAATCCAGGAAGAGCCCTCACCCAATCAGAAGAAAAATAAAAACCAGCTGTCATTACAAATATCCTACTATTTTTAATAACTGTATATTAGGTTGGTCCTCTGAGGAGCATCTTCCTCTTCCATAGTATTTACATTCTTTCAGTGACAAGACGGACTCTGTGAACAAAGTGTTTGGGACCTGAAATCCTGTTAATTGCCTGAGATCCACCAGGAGGTGCTCTGTGGGTCTTTACAGATAAGTGCAGATGGATGGCTGTCCATGGGATCTGCCTTAAGGATTCCTTGGAACAGATGTGGTTTATGGAAAAATATTAGTCTCTGACTGTCTTTTTAAAAAATCTGTATGGGGAATGTGTAAGGTTTTTAAGGCCTTGCCTATACTAGAAGGAGTTTGCCAGGGAGGTGTAAAGGCAACCCTTCCTTATAGCCATGCAAGTTACACCAGCACAAAGGTGGTTCTGTTGAAGTAACAAAAACAAAATAAGTTATAATGGCAAAAGAGAGGTTTTTGCAGCTATAATAACTATGTCCTCACTAGGACTTTTGTGGGCATAGGTATATCTGTCATGTCCCCCCCACTCCTTCCCAACTCCTAACTGACGCAGTTGTATCTGCAAATCTTGTATGTGTAGACCAGAACTAAGAAAAGTAGGAAATAACAGTTAACTCTGTTTAAGAAGAAGTAGAAAGTTCCAGCATGTTCATATATATTCTGTATGGTCTAGCCTGTTGTCTGCCTGTCTCATGAATGAATTCAGACCCACCAGTTCCATCTGCACATGTATATGTAATGCACTGTGTTCTCAGAAACAGTGCTCCGCAGTGGCCTGTTTTACATGCCACTAGGTGGCACTTGAGGGACACAGCAATCACTTGGTTTCATTCATTATACATGAGCTGCTGTACCAGCAGTGATTCCTTTCTCTTTGTGAAAATGGAGTTATGTATTCAGTTTACCATCTGACCTCTCTGGCCAGCTGTGCCGAATTGGATTTTGAGATCTGTCTTCTGTGGAGCAGCATGAGCCTCATGATCGCAGCTTACCAGGCAAGGCAGTAACACCAGGACCAATGGTTCTTGACAGTAAAGAGTGCAGTGTAGCCCGGTAGTACCACTGTCAATGAAGGTTGTTATTTTAATGACTACCCTACCTCCAAGCTGCTCAAATAGCCAGTACAAATAAAAGAAGTCCTGTGTCTTTCAGTACTGAGATATCAGAACTGCCTGAAATATTATTCTTCAGCACTGGGATCAGCACCTTGGGTAGCATTTGTCTCTGGTGGGTTCCAAAACTTGTACTTCTCTTAAAAATGTACAGTAAAATCTGTGTTATCCAGCATTTAACTAACCAGAGTACTTAACCAGAATTTCAGTGGCGGGACACACCCGGTGCTGTGCTGCACTGCACCACTTTGCTGCCTGCGGCACCGCTCTGAGGGTATCGGAGTACGCATATCATGCCACGCTACTTTCCTGCCTGCTGTGCTGCTCTGAGGGTATCTGAGTGTTCACACCCCTCCCCCCTGCTGCAGCAGCCTGTGGTTGGGCTGCCTTGGCATTTGGAGTGGCTGACCGTTATGGCATTTTTATCTGTATGCTGTTTTAGTCTTTATACAGTATGTTATACTGTAATGTATTGAACACTAATTCGTTGAAAATTCGCACTACAAGTATGGCACTGTCTTCCTTGAGTATAACTCTCAGATAACCAGAATTTTTAGATAGCCAGTGCCTCCCATTCCCCACTCATGCTGGATAACTGAGATTTTACTGTAATTGTACATAACATTCTTCTGTGGTGAGGTCTTCTTTCTACCAGTTTTTCTATGACTATTCTAAATCTTTTCACCAAGTCCCTTGCCTTTTTTCTTTCTTTTGTTTGCTTTTTTGTGGGTAGCGTGTATGGACTGGGAATCTGGGTCAGTTATTTTGACTTGTTCAGTCCCTCAGTTTCTCAGGAAGAAATGGCACTACACAGCCACATGAATCAGTGCAGGGGCCACCTATTTAGCCTTTTTTGTTTCGGAAGGTGTGGAATGTAGATTGTGATTTGATTCAAGCACAAGTTTTACCATTGATTTCAGTGGGAGCAAGGTTAAAGCAACACCAAGAACATGAACAGACAATTATATTACTTAAAAGTGTATAGTGGGGAGATTTACTGTTTGTGAGTACACCTCAGCTGAACTGTTATAACTGATTTGTCTGTCCACTCCTACTTTCCAGTAAGTGAAGCTAAATTAAGGTAATTTAACCCTGTTCATTCACTTCTGAAACATATGAAAGCTTTTTGGCATTAAGATGTTATCCAAATGATTTACCCACTGACAAATTACAGTAAGATGCTTTTCAGCATCAGATTACCTTGCAAATGTAGCAAACTTTAAAGAGGAAAAGGGGAGAGAAATCCTATCATCCAGGATATTTTTTCCTTCCTCAGGAAGAATTTCATGTGTTTTAAAAGAAATTCACAGGTCACTCTGGTATCTGTGTAAGTTCAATATTTTACAGTTTTAGAGCACTAGCAAAACTGACAAAGCAGCTTTTCCCTTCAGCTTCTGTGCAGCTCCTATTGTTTTGATTGTGAAGGGAATAGAAGCAGTATGATAGACTTTCTTTTTTAGATGTATTTATATATTTCTGTAAATGTTTTATTTATGGTTTGGGCTAAATCAGGTGTTAAAGTGTGTTCAGCTGTTACAGATTTCGAAGACATAGAGACAGTTGTTGGTTGCAGAAGTCTTTCAGCAAAAATCTGCTGGTAATAGCAGAATAGTTTGGTTTTTTTTCAGGGCTTCATAAATTATTATTATGAGACTGGTTAAAATCTTGGCCTGGTTGAAGTTAATTAGGATTTTGCAATTCAGTCCTGTGAATCAATTGATTTCGCTTTTCTATGTAAACCTTATGGAAATTAACTGTTTTTTGATAAAGGAGCATATTATGGAGCAGTAACTCTTTAGTTAGACAGAAGGCAAGGTAGGGTGGCACCTTGGAGACTAAGTGGTTCAGCAAGGCATAAGCTTTTATAGGCAGCAGCCTACTTTATCAGATGCTATGAATGGACTTCTGCCTGACTTCAGATTAATAGAGCTAACTGCTTCTCTTCAATCAGGAAGGCAAGATGAGGCCAGCCACGTTGCTGCCCCATAACTCAGCTGGCAGAAATTGGGAAATCTACAAGGTACTGGGAGTCATTACTCCACCTTGGAGAGCAGGAAATTTAGTAGTCTCTCCACAGGAGCCAGGTGTATTATTTTGGGGGTCTACAGGATGTTCCCTGCTCAAAGAGACATGGCTTCCAACACTGCCTACAAAACTTAGCAAAGGTGCACTGGAATTAGCCCAGTGTTTCCATTATCCTCCTAGCCAGACATTGTTTAAGGATTTTTCTCCTGAAGATGTACAGTCATATGTTGATTATTCTATTTGTTTCCTATTTGGGACTGGCTTAGAACAGGAAGGAAGATTACTTGATTTCCCTCAAGTCCCCTGGTTAATATCGGTTGATCTCAGATGATTATTTAACATGTTTTCATTTTTTTTCTTTAATTGGAGTCCTCAAAATCAAGTGACAGTTTGCAACTCTGACCTGTATGGTGTTTCCTGGGTCTTACCTTACCTCGAAATAGTCAGGCATTAAGTGCAACACTGTATAAGGTAACCCTACTAAGGTTTCTGAGTAGCAAGTCATTTGTGTTCAAAAAAGGAAGCAGTTACAAAAAATATT